TTAAGTGGATGGCCTTTTGCTGGGGAAACGTGCATAGGACTACAAAATGGTGCCGGAGAGATAAGCCTCTCCCTCCAAAGTGAAGCCAATAGAAAACCCATTAGTTTGAGCTGATCTGGAAATTATATGGAATTGATCCTGAGGTAAGAACAGTTTTTCATGCTCAATACTTCCCATTGATTCACGCTGCCATAATTACAAATGAAAATCATTATGTCTCCAAGTTGTATTTTGTTAGTGTCTGATGTGGGCGCACACGACGGTTGCATGCGGTCTTACTTGTCGTGCTTAATCATTTGTCCGTGGGTGTCAGTTTTTCGTACGTAAGAATCTTTAGAATTGATTTAAAAAATGGGATTCTGACAGAATTGCAATGAGTTTTGCTGTTTACCATTTGTTAAGCTACTAAAAACCCAAAAGGTATTTGAGGTTAAGGAGATATCCAGAGCTGAACCATGTGATAATGCACTCTATGTTCCATCCCATCGCAGTTCCACACCTATTCTTGCACCCTGTGCTGGTGTTAGGGGCCATTTTAATGTGGCTCTTTGACAGTAACTCAACAGAAGCAGCAAACACAAACCGACACCAGACAGGTATTGTTCGGCGTGTTTCCAAACAGTGTGAATCACCAGCTCAATCTCCCGCCACCCACAGAGTCCTGGATGGTGCCTCATCATCATTTGAGGCCTTGGGTAGGGGGAAGTTTATTGCCGAACACCACGGCGTCTCAGGAAATCCATCCGCCTACCCCGGTCTCCTCCTCCCCATCCCACACCGGCCCTTCTCCTCGACCGGGGGCCGCCACCAATCGCAGCCGAGACAGGTGTCTTATCTCCATCGCGCAGCACAAGCACAGCCAATCTTCCACGAAGATGGCGACTGGAATGTGACAAATCCATCTGTCCTGGTTTGAATTTGTATGCTAATTTGAAATAATAGCCCCTCTGGTGACAGTGCAAGGGAACAATTCAATCATGCCATCTATGACAGTTGCTTTCCAGCCTTCTCTGTGATATGGGAGTATATGCATGTACCGCTGGGTTAGGCTTGATAGATTGGTTATGTAGGGGAGATGTGGCCTGTAGACTGTATGTTTAAAATGGGCCTGCCAGCTTGAAATGAATCATGCAACTACTGAAGGCACCTGTGCAGTAACATGCCGCCGCTACCTGTAGGCGGGGGGGAACTATTTGATTTGACCTCATTTATTTCCCTCGCGACACTGTCGCATTGCCCTGAACTCTCACCTAATTCCACCGCCGCAGCCTTCAATGGGACGTGTGTGAATGATCGAAATATCCCCACAAGAAATTACACTAACGCAGTTGTTACATTGTCACACTGAATTATCTCAGGCTGTTGATTTGATTCAGCGAAAAGCTTTTGTGTGTCACCGGGCAGAAGAACAGGCAGATCAGAGAAAAAGGAGCGCGGAACACACAGGGGCGAGCTGAGCTGTGTCACATATTCAGAGAGGAGCCGGCTATACGATCTGTGATTTCTCCTGTGCCTTGACTCCCCCACTGCGCAAATGCATGGCACTCGCTAATCTTTAAATTAATCTACAACACGGGACAGATTATGGTCGATGGTGACAGATAAGGCTAAAGAACAAACTGCTCTTCATTTTGCTTGCGTCACTTCTTTTCTTCACCTCCACATCAGGGCCGGCTTTCTCTTAAGGCACCCAGTTGGTTCACCCTATATTTTTTCCCTCTTGTATTCCCACTGAAACATGACAAGACAATTTTCAAAAGTTGTAATCTTGCAGCTGAATACCCCTCACCTCACCCTCCCCTTCCAAACTTGTAAGAGAACCTGTGGTGAACTTCAGTTGTCATTTGGTCTACTGTAAAAAAACATGGCGGCCTCCGTAGAGAGGACCCGCTCGCAATGTAAATATAAAGTATTTAAATATAAAGGGCTCATTCTAGAATAAAGAAAACAATTCCTACAATTTAGATGAGACACACTAGAGAAAACAACACTAGGATTATTTTATATTCAATTTCTTGTCTTGATTTCTTTCACCCACATTTTACACACTGAACGTTTAATGTATTTTTACTCATTTGCAGTATCGAGACTGCTGACAGCCTCCTGAGAATTCACTATGAAATGTGTCAGCTGTGTTATGGCCAATAGCTGCATGGTCGGGGACATCGCCCGTCATCCTCTGCCTTTCTGCACTTGCACTGCTGCAGTGGATCCTCGACAATTTCTGCAGGATGAGAAAAGTGCACGCCGCTGTGCCAATTGACCACACTTCAAACGGGCGCAGATCATGCGTGGCAAACCGGTCTGATCAAACGAGGAGGCGAAGAGGACTGATGAACAAAAAAGGCCCCGTTGAACTGCACGCGCCTGGCGTCACGATAAATAGTGTGCTAAAAGACAGCTCTCCAAATGAGCTCGGCGAGCAGCCACGCTCACGCGGTCCTCACCGAGCTTGAAAGATTTTCAGTGCTCAGCATGACTGCACGTGGATAAAGCAAATTCCAGTGCATAAAATTACTGGTTTTGTTGTATAGAAAGAAAACAAAGCTTTACAATTACTCACATTGTCGACATATACTCAATCGAGAGTTTTTTGTCTGAGGCTGTATGAATATAACATAAAACTACATTATAAAACCTTAATGAGGCAGACATTTTGTTTTAATCAAGCATAATGGGTTTGATTAAACGTGCAACTCAGTCTCTTGTGTATGTGGCTAATAAATGCAATTAACCAACATGTAAGGGGGAAAAAAATATTTGTTGAAAAGATGCAGAAAATAGTGATAATGACAAATATCTTTCATATTTCATTATCGGTAAAACCTTGTGTTGAGATTGAGACCTTAATATTTGATGCTTTCAGCTTACACTCGTCTCTCTGATGCATGAGCCCCATCATTATAAATAAAGTATCCATAATATAATGCTTTAGTGAGTTTATGTGCAAGGACACTCCCTGTTCCTCATTACGCACAGTAGATGTACTGTAAAGGTCCATTGAGACTGATTTGTAACAGATGAGTAAGAGGACAACGATTCAGTTCAGGGAGATTTTCATGGGAGTATCAACTATTTTCTTTAAAGTGCAGGGTACTGCAATGGCATTTCAGTATTAAAACCATTATTGTGAGTCAACCTTTGTTCAGACAGTATAAATTGGAGTGTTTCTATGAAGCTTTAGCAACTTTAAATCAGATTTTTAGCACGATTACTCTAAAACTTAATAATTACCACAAAACTTGGTGTAAGGATGCAACATGTGTCAGGGAAGAATCCATCTAATTTTGGTGTGGAACCGATCAGAGGGAAGATCCAGGCATTTTTTTTTTTTTTTACCAATTTATTGAACAATTCAAGATGGAACTAAATGTGCAATTTGGTGAGACTTTATTGAATTGAAAGGGGACTACTGGGCCTCGGTGGAGGTATGTACTCTACTGACTGCCATTTTAGATTAGCTTAGTTTTTCCAGCAGTTAGACGGTGTCATCATCTATTCTGGCATTATTTCAAGCTGCAATCCTTTCAGAAACAAAACGTCTGTAGTTCGTATTGATTATTTTTTCTCAGACTACTGTGTGTCGTCTACTAAGACCAGATGGAATCATCATAGTATAAAGTATTGATGCTGCAACACACATTATATCACATCAAACACACAGAATTATTATGTCTAATTTTTAACTTTGATTTCAGTGTTTTGTCTTGAATTAATACAATGAAGACCTCTGCTAACGCTGAAGCTACAGATAAATGTTGCAGCTACCCCATAGTAACAGGTGCTGCAATACTAACAGGACAATGACGGAGGCGTGGATCAGAAACGACGCACGTGTCCCGATGTCTAAAGGAACAATTGTTTGTGCACCATGGGTCCACAAGGCTGATTCTGAAGGGTTCCCTCATGTTGCATTTATTCTTTTTCATTTCAAAGTTGCTTCTCTTTCAGTGAAGACATTAGTAGTCATGTATTTTTGGATTGGATTTTTGGATTGTGTGCACACAGCTGTGTTTTTAGATTCAACACAGCAGGAAGAAACTTTAGTAAATGATCATTTTAACAATGGCTTCATTGTGAGCCAGGAAACTGGATCACTTTGATATAATGCAGCTGTAATTAGTGTTTGCCAAGAAAATGTCTGTTGTTGCACTGATCTGCAGGGCTGTGTCCAAAATCACATTGTAATTGCTATATGGTGCACTTTATTTACCCCCCTCTGTTTCATTAAAGTGTTTAAGTCCTTAGCGTGAAGTATAGGCTGCAGAGGAGGTACAAAGTAATTGTTTTGTAAGTTACAAATTAGTCCCAAGTAAAGTGCTAAACTTTCTGACTTACAAGTCATTATGTGGCTCTTAAATTCAACTTTATAAAAAGTAATTCAAAACTAAAGAGATCGAGCGTGCCCTGGTGGTTTTATAATGTTATTTGTAATTAATTGTCTTTAATTTATTAATGTTTGTTCAATTTTGAAAGTGATAAGTTTGGACCTGGAACTCTGAAAAATACAACAGTGTATTCACACAATTCACAAACTGAGTGTTGAAAAACTAGTATTTTGGAATTAAAAATTCAAGTTACAATTGATCTATTTCCAAATTAAAAAAATGTCCCTGATTTAGTTCTATACCTGGGGAGCCAATTAGAAGCTAACAGCAGCTGGAGCAGAAATAAGAAGTGATCCAGAAAAAAAAACCTTTTAATTTGAATAAACTGTTGTATTTTTTTTAGGTTTAAGACCAAAATGTTGTCTTTGCAACAATCAAGTTTTTCTCAATTGGTGAAAAAAGATCAGACAGTGAGAAAACATCTGAAACTGAAAGAAATTAAAAAAGTAAAAAAAATGAGCAATTGTGGCTGAAAACATAAGATTTCAAATTGAAAAAAAAATGTTTTTAATAGTTTTCAGAAAGACATTTCTTTCTAATGCCGAATTATAAAAATCCTTTGGCTGCAACAGGAAGTGGACTGCAGCTGGGCTGGAGCCACATGTGATTGCAAGGAGGCAAACAGAAGCTATGGAGGAGACGAAGACACTGAGAGGGACAACACTAATAACACTTTCATGAGGAGAAGCTACAGAGACACGAACGTAATCTCCATCGTGTTGTGTGTCTGTGTGGAGGGGGGGGTGCCCTTGTTGGACCCTGGGTGGTCCGCGGACCCGTGTTTGGGAACCACCGCCCCTGGGAAGCAGCGCGTTTTTAGGGGAGAACGCGCCCACGTGACTGAGGAGAAACATCAGCCAGCGACTCCGCAGCTGCGCGTGTGACGGAGAACACGGCACCGGGCGGAGGAGAAGAGGAAGAAGAGGAAGAAGAGGAAGAAGAAGGAGAGGAAGAGAAGGAGAGGAAGAGAAGGAGACGCTCGACGAGGGAACACTCAGCCTCCGCAGACTCCGCCACCCGACGCGCCTGGCCGCCTCACCCGCGCCATGGACGGTTACGCCCGGACCGAGGACGAGCTGTTCTCCGCCTGCCTCCTCAACCTCACCTGGGAGAGCTGCTACGAGCAGGTAGGACTCAGCCTCTGATTCTCAGTGAGTCAGCACAGGAGCAGGTGCAAACTTCACGAACTCCATTCCCCCTCACACTCAAGCCTGCTCAGCCTCAAACCTGGAGCTCAGGAAGTTTTTGCTGTGGGGTCACATCAAATGGAAAAGTTGTCCTACTAGCATGGAGCATGTTCAAAGTGTGTACTAGAAGTATTTTGAGGAGAATCAGTGGCGGGTCTTGGGTTTTTCTAAATCAGGGGCCACCAAGGGGGCCACAATTTACACAAAGGGAGCAATTATATGTCCCAAAATCTGTTCACAATACCGAATTCAGTAAGGTGCATTCCTGTACTGTTTACTGTTGGCTCTATAGACACACATTGGTTAAATATTGAATAATGTTCCTTGTTCAAACAAATTGTGTACTTCAAAAAAGCTTAGAAAAAAAGCCTTTGTCAGTAAGTCAAGTCAAGTTTATTTATATAGCACATTTCAGACAACAAGTGTAAACATGTGCTTAAAATAAAAGCAAAAAATAGGACATAAGATCATAAGTGGCAAGATAAAACAGAAGACAAGATTTAAATCTAGAGAAGATAATGAGATACACATAATTAGAAGAAGTAGAATAAATAGTAAAAGTATAGGTATGATAATAATGATTTAAAATAGAAGTGTTAGTCTGGATTTAAAAGAGAACTCAGTTGCAGTGGACCTTAGTTCAAATGGTGAACAATTCCAGAGTAGAACTATGATAACTGAAGTAAACGTGACATATTTATTTATTAAAAAGACTATAGACAGGACAGGGGTACATCAGGGACCAATCAGATATCAGCTGGGGCCAATGTACCCCCTGGCCCCACCCCCTAGTATTAACGTACACAGGTCATATCCTAGAAAACAATAAACAAATAGTTTATAGATAGATTTTACTTTGATAGAATGCAAGTTTCGAGTATTGGCTGGGAAAACATCATGTGAGAAGAGATCTGTAAAATATAGATGCGTGATCCATATTCAGGTAAATGATCCTAACAAGCGTAAACAAGAGCAGGATCAATATCTGACTTTTAGAACTTTTCTAACCCTTAACAGTGTCACTAAAAGATCAGAGTATTATACATTATGGGAATTTCTGTATTGTTGATCGTTCATGGAGCCAAATTATTGTAAAGATTCGATAACTTTTGTACATTTGGCAGCGCTGAGCCCGACTTTTCTGAGAGATTGCCTCTCCCAACTTCCCCCTGCGCTCTGTCAGGGCTCAAACATCCTGCCCTGGAGATCAATAATGAATTAACCTGGTAGACAAAATGAATATCATATGCCAGGAACTCTATCAATAGATCGGTGGCAACCCTTCACTTCCTGTTTGAAGAAACCTAAGATGTTGGTTTTTTTCTGGGTTGCCAGTTAAGGTGTTTAAAAACAAGTATTGGCAAACCTTTATTAGTCTGAGTTTGTTGCATAGACAGAAGAGACAGACCAAACTAAAATGTCAAAGTACACATGAAAAAACTGAACTTTGAAGATGGTTTCTATCGTTGAAGATTGTTCTTATCACACTGATGTATGCTCCAGTGTTTATTTTTACCGTAAGTTGGTTTTTAACTAGTTATTTGATGTTGTACTGGGTAAAACCTAATGATTAACATCTGAGTCTGACTCGTGGTTAGTCATGTATTGGCGGTACCTCACCACTGCGTTGACTCTGGCTCCAAATTCGCACGGTGGCGATGTTCGTATTTTTGGCTTCATTCCTGGATAATGGTAGGAAGAGCAGAAGCGTTGTTCATCTTTATATACAGTCTCTGATTTGTTGTTGTTGAGAGTAGACTTTGATCCTGGAGCGTTGGGCCTGTTCCCACACCAGCAGAGCAGCAGCGGTGTCTGTTTGGAGATAATTACCTAATTCCTCCCTCTTCCCCTCAAGCTTAATCAGTTCTGCCTTTTAAAACACACTTATCGTGCAGTACGAAATCCCCCTTAATTCTCACGTTCTAATTTGTGTGAGGCTCAAGTCATCGGCCACAAAAATGAAATGAAATGACTCCCAATGAAAGCGAAGTGGGCCCGGCTACTGAGCAGTTTATACTCAGTGATTGATGCCAAAATATTTGTACAGTGATTTTTATGGCAATTTACTTCAATGCCTCGACGAGAGCACACACGCACACACACACATATATATATATATA